GAGAACCCCAGGAGTCCCTGGCTCCCAGCCCCCCCTGCTCTAACCCACCAGCCCCCACTCCCCTCCGAGAGCCGGGGAGAGAACCCAGGCGTCCGGGCTCCCAGCCCCCTACCTTCCGGCAGAAAGAGCTTGTTGAGCAGCAGGTCGTCGGGGAAGGGAGCCTCCGGGGTGGGGCTGCCCCCTCCCGTGTCCCCCCCCTCAGGGCTCTTCTCACACAGCACCAGGGTGGTGAACGTCCGGTTGGCTGCGTCTGAGGAGACCTGGAAAGGGGAGATGGGGGTGGGGTCAGTTACCTGGGGACCCCCCAGTCTGGCACAGAGAAGTGGCCCCTCTGGGGTGGGGCGTGTGGGGGTCAGTTACCTGGGGACCCCCTGGCCTGGCGCAGAGAGGTGGCCCCTCTGGGGTGGGGTGTGAGGGAGCTGGTTACCCAAGCACCCTGGGGTGGGGGGTGGTTACCTGGGGAGCCCTCAGCACCGAGATGTGGCCCCTCTGGGATGGGGCGCGCCCACTGCGGGAACAGCTGAACATAACGCTGTGAAGGGGTTTGGGGCGGGAAGAAGAAGCAGCCGCCCCCCCCCCCGAAGCCCCTCCCTGCAGCCCAGTGCCCCCTAGCGCCCCTCACCTGTAAGATCACCCCCAGGGCGTTCCGGTGAGCCGGGTTATTGACGATCACCACTCGACCCGGGGCCAGAGCCTTGAGCCCGCTGGCTGACTCCGCCACCCGCCTCTGCAGCCGCGGAGGAGACAGTTACCCCACGCCCCCCGTGCCCTATGCCCTGACCCCCAGCCGGGCTGCCCCCCACCCTCCCCATTCCCTGCCCCCCGCATTCCCCGCATTCCCCGCCCCCCCAGCCAGTCCACCCCCCATTCCCTGCCCCCACACCCAGCCTGTCTCCGCCCCAGGGCCAGATGGGAGCCGGCGCCCCCTAGAGGGAACAGGCCCCTGCCCCATTTCCCACCCCCCGCCCCGGGGCCGGTGCCCCCTGCAGGCAGCCCCTACCTGGATCATGCGGCGCGTCTCCTGCAGCTCCTGCACGGCCCGGCCGTACTCCGGCAGGTCGCTCAGCTGCCCGCTCGTGTCCACCTCCTCCATGGCGGCCAGCCGGCGGCTCAGCTGGGCAATGGTGTGCTCGTGGGCCTGCGGGGGGCGACGCAGAGCCTCAGTGCCCGCTCGGGTCCCCGGCTGCCCCCCCAGCGCTCCCCCGCTGCCCCCCATCCCCCAGCGCTCACCTGGCTGTCCTTGCGGCTGTGGAACTCGGAGAAGCTGCGTTTCATCATGTCCTCCACGCGCAGCGCCTCCACCCGCAACAGGTTCAGGATCATGGTGTAGGTCAGGCGGAACTGGGACTGCAGCTGGGTCGGCTTCCCCTGGGGGGCAGCAGGCGGGTGAGGGGGTCCCCGGGAGCGGCGGCTAAGGGGGGTCCCCTGGGGGGCGGCGGCTGGCGGGTGAGGGGATCCCCTGGGACAGGGGGTCCCCAGGGCAGGTGGCCGGG